TTCTTACTCCATCGCAACTTCAGCCCTACACTCATTCAATAACAGCAATCAGACCTACATACCACCTCAACAAACCCCACCCGAAAAATCCAAGCTACATACCAACAAATCTTCACTCTCAACCTCTAACCCTCAAAATCTCAATAATGTCTCCCTTGATCCAACTTGACACTCTTACCCATTTCCAACGAATAAGAACAGTCTAAAAAACAATCCTATGTTCGTTCCCCAAAAGTGGAAAACCAAAAGAAAAGGGAGAATTGAAACCGTTAACCCAAATCTTGAAAATAATCCCAGTAAATATGGAGGGCAAAATGCGGATGGCCAGGCCTAGGTAGGAAGGCACCACCACAGCATATATTCATTATCGCTAAATTCTTCATCCTCGTCATAGAAGTCTTCCGTGCTTAATATATGAAAAAATCGGATATGCAATTCTGCCTCTGTCCTGAATGGCACCATTTCTTTAAGTGCTCTCGTTGCATAGTAACAACAAATTCTCAAATGTTCTCTTTTGTCATCCAGAGCTGCGTAGTTTATGTTCAACATCATCTGTGTAGCAATAATTATAGAATGCTCTCAATTCTAGATATGTTTCATACTCAGGTTGGTATTAGCTAATGCTGCAGTTAAAGTCATTGCCCTGAATGGGTTTCCTTTTACTCTTTCCCAAGTTGGAAAATTGTTTTTTGAGAATACCATTGTATCTGTAAGGGCATGCATCATAACAGTTATATGACATAATCTTCAAACTGAATTCCAATGGTAAGTTATTCATGTTGCACATACTTTACTTAATATATTAAGGTAATAGTTCTTTAAATCACTTTTTCAGGGAAAGTGTTTAATTCGCAGTAATATAACTACAACATACAAGAGCTTACATGTTGCAAGTGTAGAAAAAGTACGGTATTAAAGGCTTTAACCTATGTATCTCCATAGGTTGTATTTGTTAAACTCTGTTGTTGCTTTTACTTGGTCTCTGCGTTCCTTACATGTTTTTAACCTTATCATACATTTTGCGAAAACCCTTTCTTGGCTTTGCTTCGTCGCATTTACTGCAATGATAAACCATTGCGCATCCTGCTTCTTCTTCTTCATCTGTAGGACTCATAATACTAGTTATGCTAATATTTCTTTAAATGCCTTTCAAATGAAAGATATTTTATAGACTGATATGACCATGAATAAACCCGTGTGTCTTCATCAAAATCAATTTTGGAACAATCCATTGTTGGTTGCGTCGGTTCTTTAATTTCTCTCTTGGTGCAAATTTCTTCAGATATACACCTCTCTTGTTCTTATATTCCTGACCATCTCTATCTACTTCTTTCGGTTGATAGTTGTTTTTCGTGTATGTTGATTTCTTTGTCACTCGTTCTAAAATTGAACATATTTGTTTGTTCTGATCCATGATCTACACTTTTCATAAATACTATATTACAAACGAAACTCTTAAAGCTAAATGCATCAACTATGCTAACACTACTCTTTAAAAACTAACTTATGTCCCTGTTAAAACTAACATTGATCAAATGTTCATCAGTTTCAATACCCATATCACCATCAGTTTTTCTCAACATTCAAACCCTCATCTGTCTCTTTATAAGAAAACACAAGTGGAATACAACTAACCTTAACTCCACCTTTTTATATCTACTCCCAGTTCATCTTTAAAATTCATAACGTGATTACATTTATCGCAATTTAAAGCTTTACTTTCACCCTTTGGTTTAACACTTTCTGTTGTTATAATTCTTTCTTGAACCTCCGGCATTGGTCTTTCTTTGTGTTCACTCTTTTTCTTTTCTGGCATTTATATTGATGTTTACATTTTTATTTTTGAGATATTGTATCCCTAACTTAATTACTTCCATCGTATAATAACAACATGTCCAGTTTTATTCTCAGTTATTACAACTTGCTCAATTCTTCTTCTGCATTTAGTATATTGATATAATCTTAATAACTTCTATTCATACAAAAGATAAGATAAAATAATTATAACTAGGTATTCAATCTTATCATTACATGCATATTAAGAAAAATTTGGGCTCAGCAATAGGGGTTCCTCGCGTCAAACAAATTATCTTCAACGCTTGTGGTTGAAGCAATGAACATGTGTTCCATTTATGATATCCCTATATCATAAACGATAGTTCATACAGTAACAACTATACACTATTTTCTAAATACTTTTGATATAAACTATGACCAACGTTCCAGTTCTCAAACCAATAAGAATAACTGCTTATGAATTTAAGCAATCTAAATACCAGCTGCAGTAACTGCTGCCTTGGGGTTCGCCGTCAGCACACTTTCGAGAAAAAAGCCTTGACAGCAACAAATACGTCGCTTCGAGCGATCCCCACCCTCCACACTCACGAGCTTACGACCGTAACAAATTCCCCCGCATCCTGTGAATTCAGGCATGGTTTTCGAGTGGCTTGGGGCCTATGACTGCTCGTTCAACAAGCCTTGCATTGAGAGCCTTATCCACTTGTCTGTGTGTCAAACTCCGCTTGTCTGCGAGCTGATCTCGAAAACTCAAACATCGGTTCCGTTAACAAAAGCCAAGCCCCTTCCAAAGAGAAACCCGACGGGGGACTAGACGAAGTTGCTTATTCACAACCCAAAGCAACACAAAAGCATCACCCTTTCCGAGCCTCAGGGTGCACTCGAAACACGAGGGCGCCAACATGAGATGTAGACCCAGCTGTGCGCCGGGCGGGACATAAAGCAAGACCAGACGGCAAGCTGCTCTGGCGAGATTCTGCCACCGGCAAGGGATACTCAGTTGGCGGGGTCCACTCGAGCTACTCTGGGATGCTGGATACTCGAGGGATCCATGGGACACTCGGCGGGACTCACAAGAAAGGTAGTGTGGCGGAATACTCGGCTGCTTGGCGGGATCCACTGCTGAGGGCTGGCGGGCTGCTCTGGTGGGATGGATCCACTGGCGAGCAGCCCTGGCGGGATATGCAAGCGCTCATCCATGATTGCTTTGACATCGGGAAGCAAACATGCAATTGGTCTCCGGCAAATTCTGAAGACTTTTGACCTGCCAATGGTGGTGTTTCAGTGAAGGTTGCCAATACCTGGGCACTCCGCAAGCGCTCTCAACGCACGTCGGCGAAAATCTGGATCTGGACACATAGGCCTGTGCTCATCCACATGCAAAAGCATACCATGTGGACTGCGTTGCATGAAGCTGGAGACATCCTCTTGCAGAACTTTCACTGTTGCCTTGAAGCTTGGAATGGTATCTGGTGGATTCCAAGCATCAATGCATTCCCCTTCAGAAACTTGCGCCCTCAAGCAATCCCGAATGTAGCTTGCCCGCAAGGCTTCCCGCAGCTCTGGGTCATCTTCGCTCGCTTTGTTGAGCTTGGTTATACTGATCTTGCTGCGGTAGTTTGCTGCAAAGGGCATAGACAAGTCATGAGTGAATTCCAAAGCCTTCTATCAATGATGCCTTCGTCTCTGGATCTAAGAATGCCCACCAACACAGACGCCGACTTTCGAATGGGAGGAGGCAGCGATGTATGCAACTGTTGGCTGCTGCTCATCCACGGTCATGTCTCTTGAAAACGTTCCCAATGAGGACTGCGTGGCATAAAAGGAAGGGGGCTGATAAAGTTTCAACCGTTTACGAACACCGCGCTCCCGTGCTGGCAAGGTGGCCTCATACATTGCATAGTCCTTCAACAGGGGCACGGCATCTGTTTGCGTGTTCTCTTCGAAACACTCGCGCAAGCTTGCGATTAGATACCGCCAGGTTCACACCACCTGCAGCCAGCTGGACAGCATCACGACGATGTCGAATGGCGGTGCTGCAGGCTTGCCACGTCTAAAATTCAATGCACAAACGCAATGATGTTGCTGACATGTGACATCGGACTGAAACAATAAATGCATCAAACGAATCTCGATAAGTGAATCTGCGGAGGAAAGCAAGGTGCTGATTGTGACCGGCATATTGGATCCCCATAACGCAGTGCGAAGTGACAAGACAACCTTGTTCAATGGGAATTGTCAAACTTTGGGACAGTGGTGAAACTACCTTACCTTGCAAGGGATGCCTTGGCCGGTTCTTGTGGAATACTGGAGCAGTTGCTATGGCTGTTTAGGCCTGTTGCTCCGGAAGTCTAGGGCAGTTGCAACGGATCTCTTGGGCTGTTGCACCGGAAGTCTAGGACAGTTGCAGCGGATTTCTGGGGCTGTTGCACCGGAAGTCTAGGGCAGTTGCAACGGATTTCTTGGGCTGTTCTGGGGCTGGTGCAACGGATTTCTGGGGCTGCTGAACGGATTTCTGGGGCTGTTGCGATTGTTACTAAGTCAATGTCCTTTGCAATTGTAGCCGTCAACATGAGCCATGACGGTGAACATCTATCCAATATAGCCTTGTTCATCCGCATGTTGCCATCCATATTTGCACAGATTATTTTCAAGATTTGGGTTAACGGCTAGAATATTCCCTTTTCTAATGGTTAACCACTTTTGGGGAGTGAACACAGGGTTGTTTTTTAGACTGTTCTTATTTGTTGGAAATGGGCAAGGGTGTCAAGTTGGATCAAGGGAGAAATTATTGAGATTTTGAGGGTTAGAGGTTGAGAGTGAAGATTTGTTGGTGTGTAGCTTGGATTTTTCGGGTGGGATTTGTTGAGGTGGTATGTAGTTCTGATTGTTGTTATTGAATGAGTGTAGGGCTGAAGTTGCGATGGAGTAAGAAATGAAGATGGGTATGAGAACACGTGTTTTTTGGTGTTGGATTGGCTGGGTGATTGGATTTGAAGGTTGAAAATGCGTTGTTTTAGTGGGTGTATTAAGGTCATGCCAAAAAGTGTGGGGGGGACCCTATGACTGGATGGCAATATGCGGCGGGGCAAGGCCTAGTCGAAGTATAGCAGCATATGGTAAGACGCTTCAATATGTCCCATGTGAACCCTGGTTGCTGGTTGACATGTGCTAGACACATGCATACTGTGGATGGTTGCGAAATCCATTTCGCAGCACTTTGACACCATGGGAAACCAGTATTTCTTGGTTTACAGGGGAATCATCAGAAACCAGGGTTTCTTAGGTGGTGCTATGCCTCTGCACTGCTACTTCTATGTTCCATCAGGCCATGTGCAAGCAAAGACCCGGAAGTCCACCTGATTGCCACGATGCGAGTGAAAGGATCTACCCCGTCGCAGAGATTGCAACCCGAGTAGTTGGAGAAGCGTGAATCCACCTGTGCGCCGAGGATTCCCAGTGAGTCAATCCACCTTCCAGGTCCCAAACACCCGAAGGGGCCCAAGGCCAACACCCGGAACATCCGTGGCATTGGCACGTCTGAGGGGCACATGATTAACTCTTACAGCAAAAGCGGTGGAAGAAACTTCCTGTGAATATGCAACTCCGGCTCGTCCCTCCCTCCCAACACCGTGTTTGTGTTCAGAAGCAACAACATCTTTTGATCATTGGCAACCTTTCCATCTGAGTGGTGGGTTTCATTCCCTTCAAACTTACATGAGCATGTGGCTCCTTCTGCCAAAGTGCTAGTGCTGGGGGTCCTTCCACAAGTCATACTATTCCGACAATTGTGTTTACTGCTTCTCCGGCATCCGCAGACTTACTTTACAAAAGAACGCCTTGCGGCTGCTGTACGAAAGACCGAACCACGTCCCTTCCGTGAGCTTCCGTGGCACCATAAAAGCTTCTGCCACCTTGCACGGCTGCATTGGGGCACTATTTGTTGTTCTCCTATGTTTTAACTCGCTACATGTCTGCCTCCGCGCCTGAGGTGGCACTTGCATCTACATATCTCCGAGACTTGAGGGTACAAGTCTTTCAATCCTTCCGCGCACCTGGAGCTTGAGCTGCGTGGCGACCAGCTGCCCGGACCGCTCGGGGTTCTTGCACTCGAACTTGTCCCAGAAGTATTTGGGGTCTGCGCACTGGAGCGGCCTCGCTTGGTGCAAAGGGCTGCGCAGGCCGGTTGGCAAAACACCGGGCGTGAAAAACATAAAGGGGCAGGTGAGTCATAATCAAAACCCGGTATTACAATGGCTTCCCAGAACCATGCTTCAAGAATTAAGAAGGCGGAACTCCGCAGCTATTTACGGTTGGGATTGTCCCTTGCTAACCTTTATCTACCCGGGTTTTGATTGTGGTTCAGGCGGGGAATTGGTGGGGAAGGGCCAAGAGATGCTACCCAACGCACGAGGCGGAGACAGAACCACGCATTCGCTGGGCTCAACCCCGACAAGCCTTCCAATGGTGCGGTAGCTGAAAAGGATTACTGCTTCCTACGCCATGGCTCATTTGCTGATTTTTGTTTCCTACGCCATGGCTTGATTTGCTCTGGACTTTGTTTCTGTGGGAAGATTGCCGAAGACAAGTCAAATTTACATCTCCGTATCCTGGGAACAATGGGCACAAGCCTCAAGAGGACGCTGGACAACATGAGCAGTAAACAACTTGCTTTGTGCTTGTTTTGTGATAAGTCTCTTTGTGTCGACTCATTCATGGATCCGTCCCAGCATTACCGGAAATACCGGAATGCACGTCAGTTCAGTTGAGCTTCATCAACAAGGTTGCACAAAATGAGTCCGTGGAGCAGCGTTCAACCCGTGGCCAGCATCTCCCATGATAGCTGCGTCCTATTGGCTTCCTATGGCCGCCTCTTGGGGAGGGGGGGGGAGGTAACTTATTTTCCATTGAGGCTCCAAAGCCAGGCAGAATGGCAAACAGTTTCTCCAAAGCAAGAGCCAAAGCCAGCGCAATGTCGGTGTTTGCCGTTTTAGGGGATTCTCACTTGTCTCTAGGGGCTCCATGAACCCCAAACCCGAATACCCAGTCGCGCAGGCTGCTGAAAGGCGGAAGAAAGTGACACATGTGTTGCGCACCCCCCTTGAAAGCCTTCAAATGCAGTTGGAACCTTATTAGTAAACTGCTTCGTACCCCCCCCCCCCCCCTCAAGGTCGACAAGGTTTGGGAAAACTGCATTTTGGAGGGCTTTTTGGGGCTCCCTCGGAATAATGCGAACCTAGACAGTTCTTTACTAGAATCGCGGTTGGCAAAGCACACGGGTCGAGCCATTTTAGGGCCATTTTGTTCCTCTTCCCAGTGGCAGCAGGAACTCGTCCAAGAAGAAGAACCTTGCGGCTGCAAGCCCTTGTGGGGCCCGCTGTGCATCTGTGAGTACCGGCGAAAACTGTTCCCAAAACGTAAAAGGACATGACATTCCAAACATGCACCGCACTACAAACACAAAACCTGTTCTTTCAGCCCTGGTGACTCAAGCGGTCAGAAAATAGTTCAGCTCCTGAAATTGACGTTGGCATTCAATGTTGATAGCGACCTAAGTGGTTTGTGGACAAAGCGAGCCCTCGCAGGTGTGCCATTGTAAGTATATGAGCAAGTACCACACTTGGCAACAATTCTTGACGTTGGAAGGGGAGCAAACATTTTCAGATTTTAGCAGTTCAGTGCTTGGATTTCAACCACTAAACCACAACAAGAAAAACATGTAAAGTGCTTCCCAACAACAATCATGAATTGGTGACAACGCCAAACTCTTGGGAATTCATATCATACTTCTTCAACCGTCAAAGCCGCTGTAACCGAGTTGGACATCTCGCTGCGCTAAAAGTGACATGAAAAGTCTCAGCTGGTGGTGACTCAAGTAAAGTCGCTTCAGCTTGATATGAGTTGAACTTCTGCCCACCTACTGCTGTATTGCTTGTCTGGCATAGCAGCGCTTCAACGAAATGCGCAATCCACAGCAATCAAATCAATACCTGAGTGTTGGAGGCTCTGCTATTTCGCTATCAAGTATTCCTCGAACACCGACAAGGAGAACGAACATGAGCACTAGACTGTCACTGGATACATTCGTTGTGCCAATGGTACGGTGTACGCTCTGCCTTGATAGGGCGACCATCTGACCAATAATGCTGGCCCCCTTTGAATCAACCCCAGCTTGTCAATAGGGGGGGTCAACCTGGGCTTAGTGGAGAATCATCACTTTTGGAGGGGCCCCCACCCGCCTATTCATAAACTGGGGTTGATTAATATTGGGTCCACATTACCATTAATACCGTCACATGCTATGGCACTTCTCAGCCATGGCACAAGTCCCCTTCTGCATCACCGGTGTCCATGTCCATGGGGATTGAGCTGACGTTGGCCGGGTGCACATGATACACCGTGACCTCTGTTGCCTCAGTTAGACGGATCAAACAAGGGCGGCCGGCCTTGAAGGCATGGTCGGGCAAAAAGGGATTCAAAACAGCCAAAAACAGCAAGTCTTCAAAGGCTGAAATGTGCCCTGCAGGCCTGATTTCTCAGCCAGAGCTTGAATTGCTAGGATTGGGGCACTGGTGCTTGGAGGTGGCGAAAGCCCACATGGGACACCACGCAACACCACAACTTCAAAGCCGCTGCGTCTTTGTAACTGTGGAATGGGGGTTGCTAGGGACCCATGATGGCTCGCTTTTGTCCAGGAAAATCCAACATGAAACCAACCATTTGTAGACCCTCGCTTTTTTCACGATCATCAACATGAAACCATTTGTAGACCCGGTACCTTCTCCGCTGATCTGAGGTCCGCGCATACTTTGGATCCACCTGCCAACGCGTCAGGAATCGACGCGTCCCATCCGAAGTGGGGATCAACGTGTTCCAAGAAATGCGCAAAGTCGGAAAAGACTCAGAAGCCACGGCAAATCTTGACAAGTGCAGATCCTAAGCAACTTCTTTGAAGCAACTTTTCCATCTCATAACGCCCAGTTTTTCCTGATCACATCCATCACGCTGCACACCACCTGTCCCCATTTCATGCCTGCCTCCTTTCTTTTCTCAGTTGTTCAGTGACTGGAAAAAAAGGGAACCCTTTTTGGGAAAGACCATTTTTAGTGGGGCAGTCACAACAAAAAGGGAAAAAGGGTTCCACTGAACAACTGAGTTGCCTTTGCACGGCGGAAAGAACAAAGCCAGGCCTGCGCCTCAGCCAGCGCCAGGCTCAGAAGCAGCAGCTTCGCCATCGGAAGCAACTCTTTTGTTGGGCCGATCCAAACGATCGACCGGTTTGCAAAAGGGATAGGCCTTGAGGGTGAGAGCTCTGCGAAAATGACCACGGCTGCTGTGTGAAAGCAAGCTGCCGATCGAGGCTGCGAAATGAGTTTCCGAACGGAGGCGAGCAAAGCGGATATCCTGGAAGCCAATTTTGTGTCTTTAGGTGAAACTATACAGTATGCCGTCCTTGGTGTCATGCGTGACAAGCAGCCCTTGGCACTTCGAATCCTGCCAAAAAAAACAAAAAAAAAAACAAGACAGCTAAGCAAAACTCAACGAGCTGTTTGTTGGTCAGAACTATGGAAACCCATTGCCACCGGGGAGAGCATTCAGGGGTGGAAGGGGGCAGCTATAAAGTCGGAACAGCCGAGAACAGCAGCGGCTCTTGCACTGTGCAATATCAAGAGCATTGAATGCCGCCATGTACAGTAAATGTTAAGAGCATGAAAAGCGGAGCCTCTGACAAGTGCAGATCGCGCATAAAACCTTGAGCAACTCCTCATTGTTTGTTGCTTCGAGAAAAAACATACAATCCTGCCCTACACTTGCTCTCCTCGCCTAAGTTTGCTCCAACTCGCACATGTCTGCAAGTGATGTCGGAGGCCTGGGTGCAGAAAGCCTGGGGCAGTGGCCTTGTTGATGCGCCACCATGCTCTGGCCGTATCTTGCACTGGGCGTGTCCTGCATCCGTTCGAGAAACACACATGTGAGGCAAAAGACCAACCAGTCAAGCAAAGAACCAACCACTGCTCAGGCACTCCGCTGCGTGAGGGACTCATCATCTGTGGGGCAGCAGAAGGAGTGTCCGACGCGGACCTAAGTCATGCAACGCATACTTCAGGAAGAACGTTTTTTCCCCGTGGCCCTGGTGAACATATCTGCGGGCATGGACCAATTTTGCAAGCGTCATGTTGCTTGGCCGGCGTGGATCGGAGTTCAGGTTGCGTTCGTAATTTGATCCACGAGACGCAAGCTTTTTCAGCTGCGACTCAGCACCTGAGGGTGAAGGGGAAAAAGCTGCGGCCAAGACCCAAGAGGAACATTTTTTGTTTTTGTGATAGCAACATGAAATGGCTGCCTCGCAAGTGGTGTTTTTTGGGTCTCTGGTTCATGCCACGAATGCTCTGAACTCAACACCTCTGAACCACAGCGCTTTGCGGTGCGGACACATAGTCTTCTGCAATCCCGAAGGCAGGATAGCCTACGTCAGCTATCATCACCGATCTGTCACTGATGGTAAGCAAACTCATGCTGTGTGCATCAAGCCAACCCGAGAATGGAGCAAATGAAGCTGGCACTGGCGGGTCTTCGCAAATAAGCGTGATCTTTGCAACATGTTTGATTCAGATCAGCAATGATAGTACTCAAAGACGTGCCTGTTAAATCAGTAACTTCCTAGAGTGCGCTAAACAGGCCGCAACATATCAGACCTCTATGAAATTCAACAATGCATATCAAAGCCTAGCAAATGGCACATGCCACGACAGGAAAATGAGAGTATCAAGCTGACGCTCAAGGCATACGTAATTTGTTCGTGCCCCTCACTGCAACGGGGGTATGCTTTGCAAACTCCGTCACCTTTTTTCCCCAGGATGCATTTGTGATGGCTGGCGTTTAATTCATCCCGACGTGGTACATCTCTTGCATACAAACCTTTTGCACTTGGTACTTGGAGATGCAGCAATGTGGTTGCATGGCCACCAAGCAACATGGAAGTGCAGAGACCCCCTTTCCAAGAGGAAAGTAGTCTTGCTAGAGGGGTCTGTGCACCAAACCATGTTAGTCGGTGGGTACATGGCCACTGCTCACCCTGCAAGTTGTTCGGCAACATCCGTCCTCGGCAGGATTGGAAAGCAACCGCCAGCGCTCCGTCTCGAAGCAGAACTCGCAGAGGTCGCGCTTGTTCGTGTAGCCTCATGCGAATGTGCTGATGTGCTTCAGGCTTCCTTCCAAGTGGTGCAGCCCGGTGGTTTGGAGGCTGAGGGCTTTCCCATTTACCCCTTGCAAGACGTCCACAATCCCAACCACCTGACAGGTTACCTGACACGCCCTTCCGCGAGAAAACAAACAAAAAGCCTTGCGGAAGCGCATCGCAAGTTTATAGACAATAGGAAGTGCTATGGCGACCCAAACCCCAAGGGCAACAGCGACGGCTGCAGAACACAAAGGCCCGGCGTGAACATGCATCCGGGCCCCACATTCGGGCATTGAGCTGCCCTTCTGTGAACCGAGACCAAAAGCTGAGCACTTCGACTTCTATAGCCAAGAGGGTGGGCCATCCAATGGTTCAAGCATAGTTTCACTGGCAACTAGCAACGCCGACTTCCCTGCATCCGCTTCCTCCCTGCTGTTGGCACGTGCTTCCGGCTGGGAGCGCGTGAAGCTTGAGTGACAAGCACTTGGATGCGGTGAGCCTCTGGCAGCGTGTCTAGGATGGAGGAAATTGAAAGCTGAGACTGCGAGGAGCCCTTTGAAAGCGTGCTGTGATGATCAATCAATATTTACGGAAATGGTTCAAGGCAACTCGGATCCGTTTTCGGGCCCGGGCCAAAGTGGGAGCCTGAGCCACCGAACACGTACATCACCTGGCTGCGCGCGCTTGCTCGTGCCAGACTCTTGCCACTTGCTTTCTCGTCAAGATCTAGATGTCAGAAAATGAGACATGTGAGACATGCGCTCAAATGGGTCTGGCTTTTTTGGGGGACCGCCTTGTGGGATGGTTATTAAACGGAAACCGACAAGAAAACCGAAGCCATTTTGGGGGTCCCCCTAAAAGAAGAAGACACACCCAAATAGCAATCACCGTCACGTAACATGCTGGGCGCCACCCCTGCCAGCTCATCCGTCACTGCGGAATGCGACGCCCGGCCGGACCTGGGCAAGAAATCGCAAGCAGGCAGCTGGATGCCGTTTAATGTTGACCCAGGATAAATAAACCTGTCCCATTATTAGGGGGTGTTCCCGCCAAAAGTGATGAGCCCCCACTCAAAGGGGGCACCGCCCTATTAATCAACCAGGGGTTTGGTGAAGCCTGCGGATGTGATGCTATGCAAATTACATCTCTGCAGGTCTACGTGTATATATATATACACACACTTGTACTTGTACACGTACATGAACAAGATGTGTGAGCACTGCCTATCTATTTGTCTATCTATACGTGTATCTATCTATTTATATATATATATACATATAGGTCAACATATGTCAACATATAGGTAGTGTTCATGTCAAAGGCACGCCTCAATGCTGTGGTGAGAGTTATTGCTGCCGCTTCGTCTGGCCAACCACCATGAGTGATTTTTGCACCAAACACTCTCATTGGGTAAATGTTTGATAAACACTAGCCAAACAAGCGCCCTTGCAAAGATCCATCTTTGGCAGCGCAATCATGGAAAACGCATAGCCCAAACGTATGCAGCCCGCCCACTCTTGCTGCAATGCTTCTGCTTCAAGCCAGCCTACTTCCGCCAGTATATCATGTATATGTATATATATATATATGTGTACACATATATATATATACATATATATATACATATTATCATGTGTATATATATACACATATATTATGTATATATATATATAATATCATGTATCTGGGCAAATTATAATAATTCTCACCTCGTCACCTCGTTAGCGTAATTCGCTATCTGGATTTACCACCCCGCCTCGTCAGTTACACCCTCCAGAAATAACGCCTCGTAAGCCATGCCCCGGAAAATGCATTGCCACCACAAAACAAGAGTACCTTCCAAAACGAAGTCGTTTTCCAGGGGCAGCCTCACCACGATCAAAAAAAAAGTTGCCGACGAACACTAGTGCTTTTAGGGCACTGGAAATCTAAATTGAAAGGTTCTGCCAGACCACCCCTGCCATTTGCGACTTGCCATGTGGAAATGTGCTCCTTTTCCAAAAAGAAGTTGTTTTTCAGGGTTTCGAGGGGCAGCCTCACCACGGTCAAAAAGAAAGGTTGCCGACGAACACTACAGACAGCTTGTGTGCTTAGGGCCCGGGAATTCTAAATTGAAAGGTTCTGCCAGACCACCCCTGCGAAATGTGCTCCTTTTCCAAAATGTCATTTTTAAAGGTTTCCTTTAAAGAGCCAAAAAGGTCTCCTTTTCCAAAGGGGATTTTACTTGCATTCTGTCCTGGCAATAGGCTCCAGTGGCCGGCAGCCCCGCAGCAAAAAAATAAGACTCCCAGGATTCGAACCCGTGCGGTGTGGGACCCCTCGGGGACTAGCTCGAAGATTTTCGCTCACCCATCTATGTTGCTAAAAGGGGGGGCTGGGGCAGAAACCTTTTCCCCAAAGGCTTGAACAAGGCCAGGCCTCGAACTCTCAAAACTCACGGGGAAGCGTTTTGGATGTTTTAAAAGCGCCCAACACGAATTTGACAGAAAGCTAAGTCCAAGCATTGCTGTTTCACCACATATCTGTGGCCAGAGCCCCTTTTTCAAAAATATACCGTTTTTGAGGGTTTCCAGGGCGCCAGCCTTCAAAAAAACTGCCTGGTGGATTTGTTGGGGCCGGAAAATCTAAATTCAAAGGTTCTGCCGAGCCATCCCTGCCGTTTGTGGCCTGTCACATGGAAACGTGCTCCTTTTCCAAAAAGGGGTCGTTTTTGATGGTTTCCAGGACATGCTCAAAAAGAAAGGGTCCGAGCCCTCAAACGACTCCTTGAGAACCAGCAAGTGGGGCCCCAAGGTTTCTTTCATAGGGGTTCCTGATTTTGCTGAAGCCAATCCCAAAATGGGTTGAAAGCTTAGTTCTCAAATCTCCACCTCGCACCTCGCCTCGTTATTTCCAGTCAGCTACCTCGTACCTCGGCTGAGCTCGCTATAATTTGTCCAGATGTATATATATATATATACATGTGCGTGTGCGTGGCTGCATTTGTGCTTGTGTTGTGCTTGTGTCCTGTGTGGCTGCATTTACTTCTATGCTTGTGTTTGTGCTTGTGTTTGAGTGGTTGTTTGCGCTTAAGCTTGTGCTTGCTGTTTGCGTGTCTGGTTGTGCTTGTGCTTGAATTGTTGTTTGTGCTCGT